TACAAAAACCATCCTACTAAATCACCCTAGGATATCAATCACGCTGCACCCCATGATACAATTATCAGTCTATACAATCTTTCATTTTCCTTTTCCTCAATCAACATCATCAATTCACATTTAAACAAGCAAATCGTAATTCATACCAACAGACAACATACAGTATCAGTTCTTCAGTCTTTCAACCCATAAATAAATAAAACAGTAATATATGCACTCGAAACTATAAAATGAACAAATCAAACCTCATAATGCATTTAATGCTGTAAAACAGGCCAAATAACAGTAAATCATAAATCACACTAGACTCGGGCTCCATTAGCAACCTTAAGCAGTTTCACACAATTCAAGGAATACCGCTTTATCATTTTGAACTTTAATACCGTGATAGGAAATAGGGTGAGGGGTCCTTACTTGTTTTCGAGATCCGAATACGATTCACAGTGCGCCTGCAGGCCTTCCCTAATTTTCCTTGAATTTTTCCCGGGGAACTGAAACACACTAACAGTACCTGCACGTGTTCCAAAAAAATCCAAATTAGGCCCAGGGCCCCTTTCGGACCAAATCGCAACTCCGGCACGGCGGCTCCGCCGTGCTCCGGCGACGGCTCCGCCGTGCTCCGGCGACGGCGCCGCCGCTGGCGGCGGCGAGTCGCCTCGGGTTGACTGTTTTCGGCCGTTTTCGGCCGAATTCGGCCACACTCGCATTGGTCCTTGTCAGAAAACAGCCCTAGGGCCCTCGGGGGGCCAAAAAATCACGGAAAAATGGAGCTTACCGGCGGCGGCGCTCTCGGGTGCAGCGGCTCTCCGGCGAGGTTCGTGTTTTGGTGATTCGGCTCCGGTCAACCTGTAGAGAAAAGAATGGTGATCACGGTGATATAAAAATTGCATCGAACGGAGGCCGGGAAGGGCCTCGTCGGAGGCAAAAACCGAGAGGGGGCGCGGCGGCGCCGCTGGGCTTCGGCCGCGTATTCCGGCCGTTTGGCCGGGATTTCGGTTTCGATTTGGCCATAGGAGGAATCAGCGTGGAAAAACGAGTCGGGGGTATGAAATTTACCTCGATCGGCGGTCGAAAATTTCCCCGGTGCGGCGGCGAGTGGCGGCGGGTGGCGGCGGTCGGCCTCTGGTTCGTCTTCTCCGGCGAGCGGCAGGCGGCTAGGGTTTGTGGTCTGGTGTGGGGGTTCTATTTATAACCCCTTGCCCTTTGATCTCAGCCGTCCATTTTGTTTTAATCTGGGCCGTCCGTTTTTGATTAAATCTGGGTCGTCCGTGCGATTAAATCTGGGCCGTCCGATCGCGCGATTGATCTGGGCCGTCCGATCGCGCCCACGCGGATCGCCAACGTGGCCCGTTCAAGAGCAACGTGGTCTTGCCACATGGTAGGCCCCGGTTGGCCGGGACTGCTGACCGGGCCTGCTGACGTGGCTGCCGACGTGGCTTTTTTTTTTTTTTTTTTCTCTCCTCGGTCCGGGCGCTACATTAGTATTCAAATTTAATTATGTTTGTATGATGGTCTATTAACGTCTAGTAATAGTAGTTGTTTTTGTTTGAATTGATAGTATGATATAGTTGTATATTTGAGTAAATTATCTATTTTGTCCCTACTTTATTGTATGTAAAAAAAGAAAAGATTATAAAGATATGTAGTGTTAAATATAGAGATATATAAATATATCTAGTTAAATAGATATATATGTAATATATTGTTATTTAAACTTGAAAAATAAATTATTATTTATTTAACATCAGAGTAATTTACGAAAATTTACAATAAGAAAGCGATATTATATATTAAATAATTATTTTTAATGATTTTATAAAATTAATATTTATTATTATAGTTTTCAAAATTGCAAATAGTTGGATTAATAGTAAATAATGAGGTAATTAGGTGAATAATAGGTGGAGATCAATGGGATAATGAAAAGGTAGTTGCAATTTCATATCATGAATAGAAGAAAAATTAAGGGTAATGGGTCATGATCATCATGGACAAAATGTCATAATAAATCCAGCTAATAATCTTATGGTAGATTTATATGAAAATATTTTCTTTTTAAAAAAAATAATTAATTTTAATTTTTACCATACGAAATATTAACAAATATAATAATACGAGTTCGAGTAAAATTGTGCACGTGACCGTCAAGATGTAAGTAATATTATTACCTATGTTGTTATTGATATATAATTATAATCTAATTATTAAAAATATATAATTTTTACTAAAAGGAAACATAATATGCTTTACAAATAAGTTTGTTTCAATAATTTTTTTTTTTACAATATTATTTTAAATTTTTACTATTGAATACAACTATGTATAGGATAAACGTAACAGAAATATTTAATGAAAGATTTATATTTAAATTATTATACGAATTATTAAAAAAAAAAAAACTCACAGTATAACCAATCATGATCGCAATGAATATCTCTAAATAAGAAGTACAACTTAATTCGAACTCATAATTTCTTATGTAAATAGGATCACATACTAATCATTCAGTTAAAAAAGTATTTAATTTAGATATTGTATAATTTAACTCAAATTCATAATCTATTGTATAAATAGAAACCCATATCAATTTGTAACACACGGGCCTGAAAATCGGTCCGGGATAAATTTTTTATTTATAAAAAAGTTTGTAAATAATTAATTGATTTTATTTTAATTTAAATTTTATTAAATTTAAAAAAAATGAATTAGTGATGAAATTAAAAATAATTTTAAGAAAATTGAGTGAAATTTTGAAATCGGATGGTGTTTTTGAAAAAAAAAATTAAAAATATAGGGTTAAAAAGTTTGGCCACGTGGAACGACCCGATCAGCAGGCTCGACGAACCAGAACATGCCACGTGGCAACTCTGCTGACATCAGCACCATGCAAGAGGTCACGCGAGCGATCCACATGCCTGATAATTTAACGGTCTAGATCTTATTCCACGCGCGTGAATGATTTAGATGCATTCAATTTTTAGACGCGATCGAACGGTCAGATTCAATTCTATCGTGCGGCCTACATTCATTTTTCGAATAACATAGATCCAACAGACAAGGAAGGGTCACGTGTTCCCGAATGGACAACCCAAATTGACATGGGGATTGTATTTAAGCATTGCGTTACAGGGAACCCTAAACTTAGCCACACCAGCTCTCGCCGGAGAAGAAAAACCAAACGCCGGAGAAAGAGTCTGACCACTGCTATCGCCACACCGGAGTCACCACCGACTGCCAAAAAACGTAAAAGTGTTTCCTTCGTGCTTGAAATTCAATTACGATCCTTCCTGTAGCCATACCAGAGCAAAAGAGACGATGAGTCAGCCGAAAACTGCAAGCAAATCCCAATCGAGCTGTTGCGGCCAAAATCCAACACCCTCTCAGATGTGCCCTTTCCAATTTTTCGTTTTACATTATTCTTTGGCCACCGTATTTACCATCTCTTTCTGGTGCAGGTTAGCCGAAGAGGAACCCTAGCTGCGAAGGAGAACCAGTGGAGCCGCCGTACCCAGAGATGCCCCCCATTGGTAGGTCTCAATTTTTTTATTTTTATTGCCAATCAATGCCTCCTAACATGTTTTTTCGCAGAGATACTTGTAAAACTGGCTAAAACTGGCTAGGCCAAGACAAACTAATATTGTGGGCGGCGCAACCGACGCTAGAGCACAACGATGTTGCTGTGGCAGAACTCTAAAATTTGCCCAAAAGGTTGTTCAACATCGATTTTGGCATTTTGGGATATTTTTGGATACGTGACTGATATTTTGATTTCTGTATGAAAAATTCAAGATACCTAAAGACCGTCAGGAAGCGTAGTAGATAACATGGCGTTTTGAAACACCGATCTGAATAAGAATCCCTCACTATATTATCTGTTAAGGTAAATTGAGACTTAATAATCGAATATCTTGTGTTTTATAAAAAATTAAAAAAATCTTAAAAATAATTACAGGTCATTAGTGGAGTCGGAACTGGTCAGTTCATATTTGCTCTTATTCACTGTGTAGTTTCTTGTGCTGTTGAATTGTTTACTATTATGTTATGCATATTTAATTGATGGTTTTGAATTATTTTCTCGGTTGTGTTGTTTACCTCACTGCACATTCCTGTGTTGGTCTGTTTTGAAATAAAATATCTTAATTATATTTTTAATATACATATCGTTTGTTTGAATAATTTACTGTTGATTTGTGAATACGAAATGTTAACATGAAATTGATGATTGATTGATGATATAAATATATGTATGGGAGGCTTATTGGGTACTCTGTAAACAGGTGAACAAACTTGATACATAAAAAATCCTACTGTGGACTTTACCTTAGTCGAACAGACTGAGAAGTCTCATTTCGGAAGAATTTATGAGACATAGTTCACCCTCATACCAGATGAGATATCGAGACAATGGTGTATTTAACGCCCATTACCGGACGGGGGTATAGAAATGACTAAGTTAACTGACAAATCTAGATATTAGGTTCACGAGTAGGGAAATATCCCTATGGACCCTCAGGGGTTCTAATAAGTAGGTTAAAAAAGAGAATTGCTAATATTGTTCACTTGTACATGAAATCATAATATCTGAGTATTCGTCCTTATAAATTGATCTCATAAAACTTGCAACGGTAAGTATGAAATAAATAGTTTTCTTTATGTTAAACGAATTTACTTAAATAAAGGGTTTTATTAGTTCTTTTATTATTTTTACCAACCTTCGATCTTTCGTATCAGTTATTAGCGTAATATTCTTACTGGCTAATGTAGTTCACTTTTCTATTAACCATTTCAAATCAAGAAGAACAAAAATCATATTCTGATCAACATGAGAGTTGTGAGTAGATTATTTATCAAACCTCATCAAGTGTTACATTATTTATCAAACCTCATCAAGTGTTAGTGGAGATTAACCCCTTAGGACATTTATATACTTATTTTTAATCATTTATTTATTTCTTTTTACGAACTGCTACAAAATGTACATTCCCGTAATCCTATCGAACACTCAAATTTACTGCGTAAGGAATGTAATCCTAACATTATTGTTTGCTTCCGCATTTAAAAATACAAATTTATTTCCTTTTAAGTTATGAAGAATTACACAATTATTCGGCTAACTAGTATTTAATCATTATCTAAATTTAATACTCTTTTAGTTTTCAATTTTAATTTATATTATATATATATATAGTGAGAAAGAAAGGGTAAACTTAAATTTTGATAACAAAAAGTAAGGAGGTGGTTTAAAATGACCCACATTAATAATTGAACTCTAATTATTGCCTCATCTTTGTTGAATGAATTCAAATTTACAAATTATAAAAGTGGGAAACAACATATTTTTTTTTCATAAACAACAATCACCCTCTCCCAAATCAAATTGGCTACATCCTTTTTAATAATTAAATTCAATAATCTCATAAATGAAAGTTATATTTGAACCAACAATGAAGCTTAAGGTCACCCTCTTTAGTTAAACACCATGATTGCTTCTTTTTTTTTTTCTTTTTCTTTTTTAAATATCCCACAAACCCAAATCACAAATCTATAAGCAAATATATATATATATATGTATATATTAAAATTTTATTAAATTAATTTCTACTATTACATTTGAAGAAATGGTCATGTTGATATTATTTATTTATTCTCTTTTTTACTTATTATAAAAATAAAATATATGTATTTATTTTTAATATTTAATATATTATTAATCCATTTTTTGTTATTATTCTTTTGATAATTTGTCTCAAATTTAACAAAATTTCTTTTTTTTTCTAAAATAAAAAATTTACAAGCTCAAAATTCTTCATTTTAATTCTATATTTATATTAAGATTATATATGAAACAAATAATATTTATTTAAAATTACTTTAAAAAATTCACATTCTAATACAACTTATAAAAAAATGTATACCCTCTTTTAAATAAATCTATAGATAATGATAAAATCAAATTGTAAATTTTAAAATAACATAAAAAACTTATCTTTATTGAAATTTCATAAATTAAAATTTCACATAAATTAGTGATATTAAAATATATTATTTTAATTTTATTAAAAAGTTCAAATTTTATCTTTAGTGAAAGTATGTATATATATATATATATATATATATACAAATAAAATTTTCACTTTTTCTGATTATCATTATTGGTTATGATGTGAAGGTAAGGTGAAATTTAAGGATTTCACATGTGGAGAGTGAATGTCGGAGGAGGAGGAGGAGGAGGAGGAGATGTGTCTGTAAATTTTTGCTTGGCAGCTTCGAAAGCTGCTCTGCTTTCTTCATTATTCTTTGCCTACTCTCTTACTCCACTCCACTCCATCTTCTTTACAGTGACAGCCAAGCAAACAAAAACAAAATCAAACCTCACAATCAAAACCAAAAAGATACTCATTCTACTCATTCCGAGTCACTGAGTTCAAAGAAAAATATCGGAGAAAATTGACCACTCACCCGCTCAGAAACCTCACAACTCGTATGATATGGTCTCTGTTCAAGTCGGATTTTTGTTCCTTTCCTTTGTAGAAATATAGAGTGGAAAGAAAGGAAAATGTATGCATCCATGTCGGCGGATTTCATGTGAGGATCGGGACCCACTTCTCTAAGAACAAGAAGAAGAAGATCCATGTGATTAATCTTCCTACTTCTCCCTGCTTTTCGTTCTCGAATCCATGAATTATCTGCAACATTCTCTTTTTCTTTTTTATTTTTTAGTTTTTTTGGGTCGATAGAAAAATTAGCGCCTGCAATATTCTTGCGGGAAGAAAAAAATAATGAAGTCTGCAAAAGAACACCTCCCAACATTGTTTAGAGTACTACAAGCTGAACCCACCAAGCTTTCAGAATAACAATTGAAAAAAATACAAACTTCCTCAAATCTAAACTTCTCTTCCTCTATCTCTCTCTGTTTATATCTGTAAAAGCTTGTGTCTCTCCCTGGATTTCCATGGACAGCAGGACCCGCCTTGATTATGCTCTTTTCCAGCTTACTCCCACCAGAACCAGGTACCTTTCATTCATATTGTTTTTGGGTATACATACATGTGTAAATATATGGATGTATTTATGTATAAATGGATACATTTACGTGGGTTTTCTAAATTCGTTGTGAAATTTTTGGAAGATGTGATCTGGTGATCTTTGCGGGGAAGGAGAGCGAGAAGCTGGCATCGGGGCTGTTGCAGCCGTTCGTTTCACATCTGGACTGGGCCAAAGATCAGATTTCAAAAGGTGGCTACTCCATCACTCTTCGCCCCGTTGGCTCTGATGCTTCCTGGTTCACCAAAGCCACTATGCAGAGGTTAATTTCCTTGTTTTGGTTTTGGTTTTCTCTTGACAATTTGATTGTCTTAACGGCTACTTTCTTCAATTTGGAAAATTTAGCAGAGTTAATTTGACGCTGAAAGAAACCATCCTTAAATTTCCTTGTTTAGGAGACTTCTTTTTTGAAAAGTTTTACCACTTTTTTCTATAGTAGTGAACAGTTTGGCAGTTGGATTAGACTGTGATTCTGGACTTGTAAAAAAAAAAGTTAGAAGGGAAGGCTTCTAAACACATCCTTAATATTACATGAATTCGTGACATGGGTAGCTAATCTCAGTTAAGAAAATGATTTGGAAAAAGAAAAAGATATAAACTTGTTCTTGAGATTAACTAGATATTATTTGCTTTGAGCAGATTTGTGAGATTTGTTAGCACACCAGAAATTCTTGAGAGATTTGTGACAGTAGAGAAAGAGATAGTGCAGATTGAGAATTCCATCCAGTCAAATGAAACTGCTGCTGCAACAGAAGGGGAAGGTTAGACTGGAAACTAACTTTTGCTTTCTGCAGATATCTTATAAAATTGGAGACTTTTTTTGTTTGACTTTGAGAAACAAGAATATAGACTTAGACGGGGTTGATTGTGTCAAAGGATCACTGAAACAGACCCCATCTTGCTGGGTGTATGATTTACTCTACCGTTTGGATTCTCGTATCTCATGGTGGCTATGAATCATTTGCTGTAAGGTCTCATAGTTTAATTTTCTGGAAATGCTGCAGAAATTTTATTAGTGCAGACTGTTGATTGAATATAAATTAGAATAAGGCTCTCTAAAGTATTTATTGTTGATTGATTTGTGATTCGATCTACTTTCTTTAAACTGACAGGAAATGACTCGGTTACTAAATGGAATCCCTCGAAGTTAACAGCCTCGTCTAAGGTATGTCCTAACCATAACATAATTGTTCAATCATATTTTCACACAAAATCATGTAATCATTTGAGTCCTTTATATCATGATGTTGTATTTAGTCAACAGGGGAATCTAATGGGACCAGTGGTGATGTACCAGAAGAAAATTCCAAGTAAGTTACACCATTCCGGTACTTGACATATTTGATGGTAGTACAAGCATAATTGTAATTCATTTATATTCTCATGGATTGATTGTTCAGCTGGGGGTGATGAACAGGATACGTCTTCAGCGTGTTCTGGAAACTAGGAAGGCAGTACTCAGCAAAGAGCAAGCAATGGCTTATGCTCGTGCTTTAGTTGCCGGGTTCGAACTGGACTTTATAGATGATCTTATATCCTTTGCAGATGCTTTTGGAGCATCACGTCTAAGGTAAGCTAGAACTTCAATAAATAGTTTTGGTTATACCAGACTGCTTCTTTGGTGACGAAATTAGTGGCTGGGTATCTAAAAGAATCATTTCTGTAACTTAGTGCTTCAGTTAAAATTTAAAATCAGTATCTGATTTCTCAGGGAAGCTTGCACAAATTTCATGGAATTATGCAAGAAAAAAAATGAAGACAGGCTCTGGATGGATGAAATTGCAGCAATGCAGGCCTGCTCTCGGCCAGACTTGTCTTTTATGGGAAATTCTGGAATTATACTTGCTGGTGAAGATAACGATATGATGAACGCGGCGGCGTTCTCTGGTGGGAAGCAGAATGGTTCAGTGGATGCTTCAAGTCAGGGAAGTTCAGAGGTTAACCAAGGTACATTTTCCCTTAGGACCCTTGCACAGTTGATCAACTTCCAAATTTCATCCTAACTATGTTTGTACGAATCTGGAGATATAGTAGAACTATTTGCAAACTCACACTAAATTTAACTAAAAGAAAATGTAAATTCTATTGTAAAATAAAATTTACATAAACTCAAATAAATTTCTAGATTTTTTTCCAAATATAGCCTTAAGAGTGATCTTTTGATTTGAGGCCTCTGGTAAATCGAAATCTGCAAATGGATAAGGTCACCTGTTCACTTAATGTTTTTTTTAGAAAAGAACTCCCTGTGAGCTTTCTTCTTTCTTTTATTTGATAAAGCAATAATATAAAGTAAAAGGAGCTTGTTCATTATGTCGTCATTCATTTCTTGTCACGGAGTCATAATATGACATTTATGACTATCTCCATCATTAATGTCTTTGGCTACAATTTCTACTGAATTACTTCAAAGATGGTTACTTTCAAGTAACTCCTGAATCAATCTTTTGATGCTGAATAATGTCTTGTACAGATGGTAGCTTGCCAACATCGCAGATGCTACCCACTGATGGGAAACCTCAGGTGCCAATGCAATGGCCACCACCATACATGCACAATTTTCACATGTTCCAACAAGTCCCATACCAGGGATACCTTTTCCCGGGAATGCAGGGTGCCTCGCCATATTATCCTGGGAACATGCAATGGCCGCCTCCAAATATGGAAGATTCTAGTCCTAATCATGATTGGGAACCTGGTGACCATAGGAATCAGAAATCATCTTCTAGGAGCAAGAAGAAATCGTCACGTGGAAAAGGATTGGAGAATTCAAAGCAAAACCAATCCACTGAGTCTCCTGATTCCAGCTGTGAGAGTGAATCAGATGAGCAGGGCAGTGAGATGCGCAAGAAAAAGCATGGGAAGAAGTCCTCACGGAAGGTAGTTATTCGCAACATTAACTACATTACTTCAAAGAGGAATGGAGAGAAGGGAAGTGATTCTGAGGATGAATCTGACGAGGAGGATTTTATTGATGGAGATTCGCTCAAACAACAGGTGGAGGAAGCTGTTGGGTCAGTAGAGAGGCGTCATAAATCAACTTCACGCCATCATAGAAAACATGGCAGTGGCAAGAACCATAATAATGGTTCATACGACGCAGCTGATCAGGAAACAAATAATGTTGCTGCAAATTCTGATGGAAAAAAAGGAAATGACAATTGGGATGCTTTCCAGAACCTCCTGATGAAGGAGAAAGATTCTGATAGTTTTGGAATAGAACCACTTCTTGTCCAGGGGGAATCCCTTTCAACTAAGAGCTCTGATGAGAGAAGTTTGTTGGCATTGAACATGGAGTCTGAGGGAGTAAGAAAGCAACGAGCAATTTCAAGTGACTCTTTTGTTGCTATGAAAGATACAAGGGCTGAAGGTGAAACTCGCAATGATACTTTTGAAACGGCTGCAAATGCCCGGCCAATTGTTAGGACAAGGGGAAGCACCTATGAGGAGGAGTTATTTTCTCAAAGAACTGGAAATCCAGGTAATTCTTTGCAAGTTAATATATCCGATTATGCTGGAGAGTCTACCGTGATCAGAAGTCGCGGAGAAAGAGACTGGTTTATCAGTAAAAATGAACCAGCAAATCCAGATGAGAGCATAGGCCTCAAAAGCTTTGACGGTGATCTTGCATCAATTGCTGGTGACCATTCTTACGTTCAGAAGAAAAATGAGAATGCTTTGACTGATGACTCTTTTATGGTACAAGCTCGATCTATAGGAGATGATCAATCTGATTATCAGTTAAGGACAGATATAAGCATGGTTCCAGACATTGTTGGAGCCACTCACTATAAAAATGGCACACCTGAAGTGTCTCATGGTAAGCCAAAGAATGTTACTGCACATGAACCAGATGACCTCTTCATGGTGCTTGGACGTGATTCAGCCATTGAGGATGCTGTTATGCCTTGGACTCCAGAAATTAACTACGAAAATGATATCTTGGCAGCTGAAGCAAGTGTAAGACACTGTGATGCTGAAGCAAATGGAGATGCTGATAATAAACTGTCTTCCGATGGTAAGGGCAGTAGTACTAAAAATTGTGGAATTGCTGGAGGAAAAGCTCCTAGTAAAAATGCAAGATCTAAAGTTCCAAATGGACCTGTTGGGAGGAGTAAATCGGATCTCGCATCAGGGAGCAGGAAACCACCTTCTGGGAGCAGAACAGCAGTCCCTAAGAGCAAATTTGAGAAGGTATGTAAAAAATATCCATTCATTGACTTCCACCTTTGGTTCACTGGAGAGAGAAAGACAGAGTGAGCATGAATAGAGGGAGATATCCTGGTTGGACAACTTTTCGTTCTTTTGCTTTTTCATGGAAAAGGGTGCAAATATCTTATAATGGTTTATTGAATTTACAACTACACCATTGCATTTTGCATTGAAATTTGATGCAAATAAATACTGCTTCTTCCACCATTTAAAGTGATTCTCAATAACTTGCATGGTTTAAGTTCTTGTTTGTCCACACTTTGCCTTTTTCGTTTTTAATTATATACTATATCATTATCATGCAATGACCTTGTGACACTTGTTTTCTTAACTTTCTCATTTAATGTCAATCTGGAAATGGCTTCCTAATCTGTCAAGGTCCCTTACAGGGGCCAGTATTTGCTACCAATGGCACAAAATAATCCAGTGCATATTAACAACTTGTGAATTCCTTAACTGAGTTAAATATCTATCTTTTTTTTTTTAATTTGCTTTTATTCTTGCAAACAGGAAGAAGAGAACAGGAAGAGAATGGAGGAGCTACTGATTCAGCGGCAAAAGAGAATTGCTGAAAAAAGTGCTACCAGTGGTTCTAGTCCACTCACATCCAAGAAAGCTTCGACAGAAAATAGGACTGGTAAAGCTTCTACCAAAAATGAGAAGGCTAAAATTCAGTCACCAGCTGAAGAAACCAAGAAAATAAATAAACCGGTTCTAAGGAGTTCCACCATTGACCGACTTGCAACTGCACGGACAGTTCCAAAGGAGTTGCCGATTAAATCAAAATCCAGCCAACCCAAAAAGTTGTCTCAAAAGGCAAATGGAACTGCAGCAACCTTATCACAGAATATTGCTTGCGCTGATGATAAAAAGTCGACACCAAAAAAAAGCATATCTTCTGATAAGAAAAATGGTCAAAATAACATAGGCAAGTTACTTTCTCATGAGTCTGATCTGAAGAGTAAGGAGGATCCAAAAGAAGCCGCAACAGGATTGCTAGTGGAATTAGCAGAAGAGAAAGCAACTCAACATGCTGATATTGTTGATGACTTCAAAAACATCAAGGAATTGCGCAGTATTTCGTCAATCGAGAAGGTCGAAGCTGAAGGCAATTTACCTTCACAGGTTAAGACAGATGATAAAAACTCCAATGGGGTGAATCCTGAAGATGAGTTGGAACAGTCAAAATACTTGAATGGTGATCGAGAAATATTGAATGAATCAACAGCAATTTGTGAAGACAAAATATCTCTAATGATTCTAGTGAACATACTCCTGAAATAACGGTTCATCGTAAATCACCAGCACCCAAGAAAGTTGTGAAGTTTTGTGATGTGACAATGGAGGATAATGTTGTAGTAAACCAGCATTATCTCTTGTCAAAAGTTTCTGAGATAGAAATCTCAACCCCTCCAACTGATGAAATGAGCACAGAACAAGTCCACTCCAGAAAAAAGTGGAGCAGTCAAGAGCACTCTCGTAAAGCTGCAAAAGGCTTTAGAAAGCTTCTTTTGTTTGGACGAAAAGGCCGAACATGATATCATGGAATGAGTTTGCTCGTAGATTAACGTGTCCATCCTGTTTGGTTCGGGGTTAAAATTTGGATTCTTTAAGAGCTGGAAACGAACAACCAACAGTATATAGCAATCATTTGGCTAATGCATTCCGTATAGGACATTGTGTTAAACAAGGTAATTCGCTCCCTCACATAATAAGGCCTTTTGGTTTGTGTCGCCGCCACAAGGATTCATGTCGTAATTTATTTGGATCTACGAAGACCTTGATTGATATATTGTCTGATACTGCAGACATGCAGTATCTTTACTTGTTGATTGTTATTCCCATTTGTATGTGATTTGATATACATTTGATGGTATTATCTTTGAATTGCTTGTAAGTAGTAGTCAAATTCTTTGCTGTGTGTAAAGCTCTGTAGTTGCTGAAGTTTCAGAATATATATTCTTTGCTTGTTTGTTATCCTTTCGTATCTGCAGAATTCATCGTTTATTCAACAGATTAAGATCGAGAATAAAATTATAATTAATCAAAGATCAATTTTATCAACAAATATGTTTAAGGGTGACAAAGAAATTCATCATATAATAAATTTAAACCGAGCTATTTAAACATGTTCTAAAATAGTAATTATCGGATCAAATTTAAGATTCAAAACTTACACAAAACTCAAATACATTATATTATTATGCACTCGTATCGTATCTGTAACGTATTCAAATTTTTTTGTTTCATGAATATATCGAGATTGAATTTCGAAAAAAAAAAAAAATTCATGGTTAGTTACATTTTCTTTAAAAGAAAAATTAGAATTTCACCCATAAATTATTAAAATATTTCTGTAAATAAAAAAAAAAAATTGACCTCGTTGGACCTCAGTCAACGGAGAGATCTCGGGCCCACAATTATTTGACATCGCCTACGTGGCGCGAAATCACTGGAGGAGGTGCAGGAGTATGAACTGTACCCAGATGTACCATATCAAAAGTAATAATAAATTAATAGCTGTAGGAAAAAGACAGTCACAACACAATGAACCGCAAAGGCGCTCTTCTGTCGCAATCTTTGATGGATTGCGTTTTTCCCACGCGTCCCAAGAACTCGCCAGATCAGCCGTTGGATTTAAAGCATTTACTTATTTTTTTTACCAAAATTAATTATTATTCGTTGGATTTCTTCGCCGACAATTAGTTAATTTTATATTAATTTTAATTAAACATAAATTATAATGAGTTAATTAGAGATTAACATTCAGGTGGGAATTTTTAAAAAAAAAAATGAAGACTGTAAATGGAAGATTTCTAAGCTTTGCCGGTGAAATTGCCATTTTCAATGAATGGGTAACGCGTCCTTTTCTTCTGGTAATAATACTTTCTTCTTCTTCCTTCAATTGAAATCAATAAATAAAATTACTATTTTTTTAAATTGTTATCTTTTTAATAAGCTTCTTCTTCAATTCAAAACCAGCAGTCACTTTTATATCTACGGAGAGAGAGAGAGTGAGTTTGGGAGAGAAAAAAGAAAGGAGCAGGGACTTAGATCTTCTTGTGCATTGAAGCAGGACATCAATGGCGTCGAAGCTGCTGTTGATTCTTGTGTTTGTGTTGGATCTCATAGCTTTCGGATTAGCAGTTGCAGCCGAGCAGAGGAGAAGTACCGTGAGTTGTTTTTCTTTATTATTCTCGCTCTCAGTACTTCAATGGTGGTTTCCCGGTATCTGGGGTTGTTTAATAATTGTTATGCTTCGATGGGTTTTGTTTAGTTAGGGGGAGGAATGTTTGTGTAGTTTCTGGGTTTTGCTGTTTGGTTGCTGAGAAAATTTGCAGGAACAGTGGTAAGCAAAGTTTGGTTTCTTCTTGGTTAGGGGTAGGAATAAGAAATCTGAACTAGTTAAAGATATTACACCTAATTCAAGTTGCTGGTTAATCTTGTACGGAAATTACTAGATCTATATTACCCAACATTTATTTTTTCTGAATTTGAGAATGAAAACGGCAGATCTCTTGCTGTCTGAGCATGAAAAGTCACTGACTAATACATACCCTCTTTCCATATCATATAGTTAGAACTTAGAATTAGATCCCCAAGACACAGGTTATCATTAATGGTTAACACTTTCTTTTCAGTATTCTCTATTGTATTTATGGTGAATGCCTTGAAGGTTAGCAATTACCTTAGAAATTCTCCATGTAGGGAAAGATTGGATTTGTGTCTGATGTTATTTATTCTGGGTATAGCTGGCTGTTAATGAATTAAGTATAGTTTTATCATCTATTTGTGATGTCATGATTACAGGCCAAGGTTGTCGACGACAGTGAAAAGGAGTATACTTACTGTGTGTATGATTCAGACATAGCAACTGGCTATGGTGTTGGTGCATTTTTGCTCCTCTTGGCCAGTCAAGTGCTTATAATGTGGGCAAGCAGATGCTTCTGCTGTGGCAAGACTTTGAGCCCTGGAGGTTCAAGGGCTTGGGCTGTCATTCTCTTCATAATCTGCTGGTATGTGTTCACACAACTATTGTACAATCTATACAATCTATCACATTTGGGTTTCTGCTAGATTACACTATCCAACTATATATATATATATATATGTGCTCATGTAGTATTAGACTCCGAACATAACAGCACTTGGTCTTTGGCTGCAATCTGGCATGATTTTGAGCCCGTCATGTTTTTGTCTCATGGCCATGTATATGCCTGCCTGATTACCTACGCCCTCTTGTGTGATCAGGTTCCCAAATACGAGTATTCGCGACAGTTTATTTGTTTGGATAGCTTTGCTTATAGTTATGCAATTTTGGGTTAGAACCTAACATAAGGAAGGAAGGGCTCAATTTTATTATTTATTTTGTAATTTGACATTTTCCTTCAAGCGCAAGTATAATTGCACTTGAACCAGACAGGCTCCTGCAGAATTGTGCATACAAACATGCACACAAGTGGAGTTGCTGCATACATATACATAGCTAAAGGTTTTACACCATTGGTTTTTCTAAAGTTAAAATTTAGATTTGTAGTGAAGAGCCAACAACAGCCAAGCTAGTAGGAGATATTGTATCTAAAAGCTTTGTATATGGACTTAAAAACCCCATTTTTCTTTTCATTATACTTTCGTTGTTTTTTATTATTCTTGCCTATCACCTATCCCAGGTTGTTTTTTATCATCGCCGAGGCTTGCTTGTTTGCGGGTTCTATCAGGAATGCCTACCACACCAGGTACAGGACCTTTTTCAACGAAAATCCTCCCTCTTGCCAAACTGTGAGGAAGGGAGTTTTTGCTGCAGGAGCAGCATTCATTTTCTTCACTACAATCGTCTCCGAATTCTACTACATCTGCTACTCAAGGGCAAGGGAAAGCTTCCAACCATATGGCGGAAGAGAGGCCGGCGTGGGTATGGGAACCTATAAATGAGTCGGTAACAGAACTATATCACTCTCTAGCTGTGCCTTGATTTAATTAGCTTACTTCAGTTGCTGCTCTGAGTTGAATGATTGTATTAAGATTTGGAGTTATTAGTAGTAGACCATATTGTACTTGTAATTGATGATTCTTTTTCTACCATCTGGCTATTTTTCACATTGTAAAATTTTGGGTTATTAATCCTATACATATCAATAACACAAGGTGATTGTTCTTGTGTCTGTTATACTACTTGGAGATCAGTTGGACAATGTAGGTAAACATGTAAGTAGGTTGTGGGATGAAGAATCTAGTTTCTTCATCTTCATCTTCATCTTCATCCTGTTACTATATATGATGTATTGATTGTATAATACAAGTTTCTCTAGTTTCCTCCCCATGGAGGCTTATGTTCTTTCTGAGGATGATCTGATTAACTCGTCTTGAATTTCTTTCCTGAGACTGTTCTGATTGGCTAGATTCAAACTTGTAATGGTTAATCATATACATTGATCCATAGTCTTTCTTTGAAATAAATTTTGAAATAATAATAATACTAACATTACATTTACTTTATTAAGAGACAGCATAATTTCTACTAAGGTTTTAGTGATAGAATAAAAATGTTTTTTAAATCAATAAATCTGTAAATCTAAATACGTAATATCTTACTGAATTAATGAAAAATATAAGTGGAAGCGTATTTAAATTAATAGTGTAAGAATTATTTATATTTTATAATTGTTTGCATTCTATAATAAGTATTTTTAGGAATCAACACAATACTTTAAAATTAATTTTTTCTGATTGACGGAATTTAAAAAAAAATAAAATGTTGATTTTGTGATTCGAAAACTATAATCGTTTTTTATATTGATAAATTTTTATAATTTTTATTTTATTCATTATAAAACGAAAATATTATAAAAATTATATTTTGTACATTACAACTCAATGTTTAAGTCTGATATTTTTTTTAATCGTATTTAATTATTTTTAAATGAATTCATTAAATTGATAATTTGATACGTTTATCGAAATTTACATTAAACTCACTTAGTTTGAAAAAATCCAACACTTAGTTAGCTATGATTGAAATTTCATAGCTTCTACTATAGTTTGAATCAAAACTGAAATATATGTGTGTGTGTGTATATATATATATATATAGATATGCTAATTATTATGTTAATCTTTCTAATTAAAAATTTCTGAGTGAGATGGTACAAAATAGAGAGGTGTTTTTCTAAAAACTCCTCCCCTAAACGACGACGTTTTGGTGGCAATTAAAGGGAGGAAAAAAATAGAATGGGCTTGGCCTTTTGTGTATTAAAAGAAAAGAAGTAATGGGCAACTTCAAAATGAATTGGATTAATTTGAGTTAGCATTTAAAAGCAATATTATCTATTAATTAATTATTTTTATTATAACAAAACATAATTAAGAACATTAAACATATATTTTAACATTTTATTCAGGAAAATAATATTTTTGATGATAAATTCAATGATTCTTAACACAAAAATCATAGATATAAAAATAAAATAATTACATTAATTATATAAACCTATATAATTTTAAAAGATGAAAATATATATAAATAGCTATATTTATATTTCTTATACCCTAATTTTTAATGTCATTTTTCATAATTATATTAATTATTCTTTAAATAGCACCTTTTTTTTTTGTTTTAGATGTAATTTTATATAGATTTATTATTTCATATGACAAATAGAAAAGTAAAATCTATATAGTTTAGAAATTAAGGACATAATAAATGTAATAATTATAAGTATATTAAAATTAAACCAATTAAACAATATCATATATTACTGGTTAAACTTATAATTATTTGGTTTATTAAGTAATTAATAAATTTGAATTATAAGTATAAATTAATTCATAATTTCACAATATTTGTAAGCATTATAAATGCCCATTTTCATTATCTTCTTCTCGTGCATTTTTTCTTTGTTTATATATTTTTAAATATGTAAATTAGTAGCTCGCATAATTCGAGTAATTTTTAAATTCTATAATAACCTACAAATATCATAAATTTTTTATGTTCGATATTTACACATATATAAATTTATAAACTGTTATTTATAGTAATTAAATAGATGATTCATTAATCTGATATTTTATTTTTTCTCATCAACTCATAACGGTTAAAACTATATGAAATAACACTCAAAATAATAGATAATCGTTATAAAAGAAAACGTACTTTGATGAAATGTATATCCTTAAAATAAATTATATAATTAAATTATAATAATATAAACGATTACCAACATATTTAATTATCATGAATATATTTTAATATTTTTTTCATATATAAAATGAGCATATGTTTATTTTTTATTTGAATCTTTTATCAACTAAAGTTCTAAAATTTTTGTGTATAATAATTAGATAGAGATAATAAATAATTAAAAAAATTATTATTTTTTTTCAATTGCTCTCTCGATCACACTATGACTGTATTATATTCGAATAATATGTAACTCTAATTTTATATTATTTTTTAAAATATATATATATTAAATTCAATAAAAATAATTTTCGTATTAAATTTTTTTATATAAATAAGTACGGCATAATTATTGACATTTAATGTAAATTAATATATATATATATGTATAGATGATATATTACTAGTGATCTGTCATTAGCTATATAAGGCACTATCATTGACAATTCAATTAATTGCCAACTTGATAAATCAAAAAAATCATAAATTTTCTTAATTATTTTTTATTTTTAGACTGTACCCACTTCCCTCTTAATCATGATTATTGTGGGAGATTGATTAATTTCCAAAGCAAAGCACGTTAGATTGATTAATTTTCTTTCTCTTAATTTTAATTTAATTAGTAATTAGTTAATTAATTAATTAATTAATTAGTTAATTAATTAAATTAAAAGCAAGAGAATCCATTTCAAGTTTAAACAGGCTGTTGGGAATCAAGCAACGTGGTGTGTCTTGGTGTCTTCGTTTTTTTATATATTGGAATTTTATTTTAATAATACATTAATTAATTAATTAATGTATTATTTATTTAATAGTGATTTGTAAATGGTGGAAGGCATGTGTAGAAGTACAAAGGGTGTCCAAGAAATGGGAAGAGAAGTAGTAACCCTTTCATAATCTCAATAGGCATAATTTGCCTAATTTTGTTTATTCAAATTTAAAAGGGTATTAATAATAATAATAATAACAATAATAATAATAATATATTTTTATACCAATATAATATAATGTTTAATAACTTTAAATTATAATTTATAACTCGCAGTTGATTAGAGTTTACTGTAATGATTAAAGTAATTAATTAAAAAAGTAGTACGACAATGTTTAGAGTTAAACTCTCTCAAAAGTGAAATTTTGGATATAAAAGAACGGTTTTAATTATTTCATGAACTACTGTATTACATTGTCTTGTAACCCACTTAATTGAAACGTCAGTTCTCAACTTCAACATGGTTCTGCGATCTACTATGATGAAATCGTATTCTGAATCATCTTCATCCCGAGCTGTCAATGCATTGTATACCTTATGGACGTTAACCTCCGTGATTCATGACCTTTGGACATGTGCGTGTATATACTCCAGTGCACTCAGGCACCCTAGTAGTTTCGTAGCATATACTGAGCGATATTCCTTCAAACGTCACGAGAACACAACCAACGCATTGTCAATGATCGTGATTTGAATACAAATATATAGATTTGAATATACATTTGACGAAATTTCTTTACGTATTTGTTTATTTTCAAATACCAATAGTGGTGATTTTTCATTCATTATTTTATTTTTTTGCTTTTTATTTAATTATTTAACATCATTATGCATTATTATTTTTTGTTATTTATTTGACTACTATTTACTATTATTGCTTTTTTAAAAAAACTACATTATATGTATAAAAACAATTAACAAAATAACAATTGACAATCATAATACAAGAAATAACAGTGACAAAGATTAATAATAATAAAATCAAATGTACTTAAAAAAATAATAATTATAAATAGTTATATTTAATAAAATATCTCTAAGATAAATAAACATATAATAAAAATTTCGACTTCTCATCTAAGTAAATAATATATGGATCATACTCTAATGGGTTTTTAGCCAAAAAAATTATTATTTAATCTAAAATTAATATATATTATATTATATTATATTCAATATATATAACTTTGAGTAAAGTGTATATTCAAATTAGGAATTTTAAGAATCATTTAAAATGCTATATACAATTTACCAATTGTAAATCATTATTCAATGCATTGACCAATTAAAGAATAAGCAAAAACATAAGACTTTGAATTAGTCCCCCTTGGTTATTATTATTATTATTATTGTTATTATTATATGTAATGCCCACCAAAGTCAATTCAAGGTAACATTTGGCTGTAGATCAAGACACTTACCTTAATAATAATAATAATAATACAATGTTTTTAATACTATATAATATTATATAATATCAATATTAATATTAATACTATATAATATTATATAATATTAATATTAATATTGATATTATATAGTATTATAAATCATGTAAATAGAAATCCAATTATGAGTGTAAAGGAATCCAAGAAGGATGATGGCATCTTTCTACAAAAAATATATATATATATATATGTATATTTATATGTATATTATAAAATAAAAAACTGACATATGCTCTGTTTTACAAACAGAATTCATTAAAACACAGAATATTATTACTTTTTTTAATGTCTTAATTTTTTTTTTTTATTGAGTTTTAGTTTTGCATAATATTATTATATAGTAATTATGATTTAAATCAAATAATTTGCATTTAATGAATATTTCTAACAATAATATTCATATAAAAATACACACGGTTAAAGTGATTATACGTACACTTACGTGAATATATAGAACGGTTGAAAATTAATATAGAAATTATAATTTATTTTATTTATTAATTTAAATTTAAATAAAAATTTATTTTTTAATTATATTTAATTTATGTTTATTTTTTAAATATCATATAATTAGTGAGAGTTTTATTTTACGATATTTAATTTATATTTATCTCTTAAATAATAATATATTATTTTTTTAAAAATTTAATTTTGATATAAATTTATTTAAATGTACTTTAAATTGTTAAATTTTTAGTTCGTAGAGTCAATGAAAATTTAAGTTTTTTTCACCTGAAAAACTATTAACGATGACTTAATTTTATATTTTCAACTAGTAAAATCATAACTTAATTTTTTTAAATTAAAATCTAATACAAAAAAATTAGATATATTAAACTACAAAATATAACTTACCCTCAAACCCTCATATCATAGTAGATTTTTTGTTAGATTTATATCATAATATATTCTTATATATATATATGTGTGTGT